GCAGATTAGGTGACACGTCGTGCATAAAGTTCTAGGGACCAGAATTATTCTGCTCAGTTAAGTAAGCAGGAGTGTTTTAACATTTAAGATAAAAAGTTATTAGTTATTTTCATTTGAATTATGTCATATATACCTTGTGTGAGAAATGGATCTGTGTTGATCTTAAGGGCAGGTAATTTGCTGATTAGTGCTAGAACAAGGAAGTAGTTAAACTGTTAGAAAATAGAAAGCATCAATATTTCTGGCTTTCAGACAAGGTGAAATGTCTCGTAATAAGGCTCAGAAGTAGCATATAGTGCTGTATTCCATCTGTGGAGAAAATGTGTTCTAACTTAGAGTGAACTTTATATGCCTGAATATATTTGTGTAAAGTAATTAATAAGGTTAAAAAACATTTATGGCCAGTAGTGACTCTTAGTGTCCACCTGTTCGATGCTGTACTTTAGGGGGGAAGAAAAGTAATTTGTGTCTTATCTGAAAGCTTCTGTGTTTCCCCAGATTCTCACATAATAAATTCAGGGGACATGAGTACCCTTGGCCCTGGCTGAATGTAAAGGGCGTAATGAGAAGTGATTGCCTCAGAGCTGTTTGCAGGGACACTTGATAGATCTGTTTCCTTTGGACAGCAGCTTCTTGTGCTTTAAAAGAGAAATGCCCTGTGCCCTAAAGTGAGTGGGGTGGGTTTGTGAGAGAGAAGCTGAGTCCGAGAGGAGGATGCAGAGATGACGTTGTAGGCAGGAAGAAATTGGCAGTAATGAGATTTGGAATTCTTAGCAACATTGCTAATACACACAGACTGAAAGAGGTTGGAGTCTGTTTAAATGGAGACAGGAAGAAATTAAAGGTCATATTCAGGCAGTCTGAAGTTCAGCCCAACTCTCTGTCCTGTTAGCGTGCTCTCAGCAGCTGCCTCTCAGGGTGTTGGACTTCAGGAGCTGCTCTGCAGAGTACCAGATTTCCCTAACTGGGGACAGTGTGTGAGTGACAGGACACCTCAGTAGAACTGTGAGTGACCATGATGAGCATGGAAGAAGGGGCCTCTACGTTAACAGAAATGCATGAAGAGTTTCTCTAGGTTGATGCTGAGGTGTGTGGGAAGCTGAGCCTCATGTGTGCCTTCTGGAGTCCCAGCATCACTGCAGTGGGGTTTTCTTTTTGTTTTGAAGCTAAATGGAATTTGAGTTCAAGATATTCTTCATAGCTTTTGTAGTCATTAGTTCACCAAGGCACGCCATGGGCTCTGAAAGCTTCTGATACTGTGTTCTTGGCCATTTGAGGACAGAAGGGGCCATAAAATGTTTCTCCTTTACCTGGCTGAGAAGGGGGGTTTTTTCCTTGAAAGGAATGGGGGTTTTATTTTTCTGGTAACATCATTGAACAGGGTCATTACTAACTTCAGTAAAGAACTGCTACATACAGTTCTGAGGTTTTTCTCCTTTGTTCCCTTCCTAGATGTGGAAGTTCACCCAGGACCGCTGGGTTGTGAGAAAGGAAGTAGCAGCAGTTACAAAAGTGAGTGTAGTTTTTTTTTTTCCTTCCTAAATCACAAGTTGGTGATAAGTGTTGGGCATTGTGTGGGTGTTAGTGGTGGATGCTGCTCCAAGCCTTTGCTCAGGTTCCCAGTGCCAGCACTGTTCTCCAGGCACGCCTGCATTTTAACAGGTATAGTTACCTACTTTTTCTAGAAACATTCTGAGCAGCTCCCACAATTACCATGGCTTCAAGACTGGCCTGGTACCTGAGCCACTGGAATGCATGATGTCCTATCATCTGACAAAGTTTGAATTGAGCTGACTGATGGTGCACCAAAGCAGATGAGAGCTCGTGCAGCCCACACTGGCTGCTGTGCTTTGGGTGTGTTAGAAAAGAGCAACTCTTCTGTTGGCATTTGCCGGTTGTCAGTAAGGAATAAAAATTTTAAAGCAACTAAAGCACCTGAATATTCTGTTAAAAGTGGCAAATGGAAGAAAGTAAAAATGACAAACCCCAATTTCGTTAAAATGCAGTAAAATGATAAATCACGAGTCAATTTATGCACAGACCATCTATTTTTGGAATGTAAGATCCAGTGCTGCTTAAAAAGCTGGGCATGTGTAGGTGCAGCACGTCTGGCCTGCAGCTCTAAAATGAGATTAACATTGTAGAATATGCTTCTCTTCACCATCCAGTCTTTTCATCTCAGTTTGGAAACTCCCTTTTCATCGCAAAACATGCCATGGGCTATTTGACTCCAGGTGATTAATCACCACTCTCTCTGAAGTCCTGTGCTTTTAACAGTGTGTGAAAGTGTTGGTGCTGCAGAGAAGGATGAGTATCTCTGACTGAGCTGGGTGTGAGTCCATGGAGGTGCCTCACATAACACCAAATCGGCCCAGCTCTTCCTGTCTCATGGCACACTACCCATTGCTCCATATGTCCTATGTAAACTGACTTCCATATTATTTATGCTTTTTCTTTTTCTTTTAGCTTTGCCCAGAAGATGTGAAAGACTTCCTAGAGCACATGTCTGTGGCAAGAATAAACAAAGGTTGGGAGTTCATGCTCCCTTACGATGAAGACTTTGTTAAGAAGCATCCAGACATAGTTCAGAGGCAACATATGCTGTGGATGGGCATTCAGGCCAAGTAAATGATTTGTTGTATTTTGGGGAATAAGCTAAAAACAGAGAACTATCTAGTACAAAAAAGGTTTTGTAGACACTGATCAATGATTTGATCTGTATTGCCTTGAAGTTTCTCCCTCACAGGCCCCAGGCAGTGTTGTGGTGGGGGGTGTCACTGCTTCATTCAAGTCATTCCTAGTTCTTGGCTCCCTGGAGAAATGGAATGTTCTAGTTAATGGCTAAAGCTGACATGGCTGCATGCAGGCATAACAACTGAAACTGCCCTGGTATGTTGTGTCTTTGTCTTTCAGATTAGAAAAGGTCTATAACCTCTTAAAGGAGCACTTGGCACCAAAGAAACAAGAGGCACAATCAGGTAAATGGAATTCTGCTTGGATCATCTTGAAGCAGATGCATCCATTCATATTCCTGAGTGATGTTTTGGAATTCCTCTCTGTTTTTCAATGTGATGGGGACTGGTCTTGTTTAATGCTTTTTCTTTCTTGCTATTTCCTCTGGGTTATTGAGGCAGATCTTGGTCTGTACTACCATCACTGGTGTTGGGGTGACACGAGCCTACATGTAGCATCCTTGTAGCAGAGCAGGGAGGATTCCCTGGCACTGGGGACTCACTATTTGACACTGTAAAATCAGATGGTTCTGTTATCCACTTATTTAAGGCAGCTTGTGGGGTGTAGGTAGCTCTTGAAGAGAGGACAGACAGGGCCAATGCACAACTAATTCTCCCTCTCAGTTTGCAGCCTAATGTGCATGAGGTGATTTTTTGACTTCCCCTGATGTGCTCTGGGCTCTCTGGTGTGGTTGAGGGTGAGCAATTACTGAAGGATGTGTTGGCAGGGGCTGGAAGGAGGTGTGAAGCTGTCTCTGTTTGACATCCTTCTCCACTGTGGATGCCAGTGAGGATATTAAAGGAGCTGCTCCATAATCCTAAAAGATTGTGAAAACTTGAGATTCCAGAGAGTTTTAACTAGGTATTTGGCTCCTTGCCAGACACTGGAGCCAATGAGGAGTATAAGCAGAACTGACAAACGAGCATATGAATCCATTTCAATACCCAGTGTCTGATCTGCTCGGAAGGATTAGGTGTTGGGTTATTTGGAGAGGATTAGCAGCCTAACAGCAGAGAAGATAACAGCATGTATGCTGGGCATGCTTTTGCCTTGAACACAGCACTCCTTGCCTTGGCATTGAGACTGGATTCCTCTGCTGCCAATACGCCCCTTCCTTTCACGTTCGGATAACTGGGTGTGGAGAGAGAAGAGGTGTGGGATAACATGGGAAAGAACTCCTTCCTGTTCCTTTCTCCCCATTACTGGGTAATAGTACTAAAAAGAGGGTCTCAGGCTCTCACACTGTGCACCTCATGCTAAAAGAGCAGTCAGGTTCACTGTTAACCCCTTCATGCTCCTCCTGTGGGACATCCCAGTGCTGGCTCTGGCAGTGGCTGCAGCAGGGCCCACCAGCCACTAGAGAATCCTAAAAAAAACCTGAAAAGTTGTTGGACAAAGAGGCATTTGGGTCACATTTTGTGACAGATGTGTGAGCAGTCTGTATACTGTTTTCCTAAATTATGGAAAAGGCCCTGGTGATCGAACAAGGGCACTTTGTCTTTGCTTAAGGTTCCTTGACTGGAACACTCCTCCCCAAGCATTTGGCTTTAAAGAAACAAACACACACCCCACCAAAAACCCCCAAAACTAATGTAAAATTTAATCAACAGACTGGGGTTTATGCCTTAGATTTCATAAGCAGATGATGTTTCCTGGTTTTATTTCACCAAGAGTCTTTCAAGAAACATTCTGCAGGACTGGAGCCCTGATTATGGTGAGATTTATGGCATCTTTTGTTTCTCACCAGCTCATCCGTTGCTGGTTTCTGGGGAGCAAAGAGTCAGCATGGCTAAAGCAAAAGCCAAGCAGAACTACGGGCAGCTGGAGAAGGAGTTCCAGAGGCAGAAGGCAGAGATGAAATCCAACGACACCTCGGCCAAGACGGATGTTCCCAATATCCGCATCAAGGAGGAGCCTGTGGGTGACGAGGAGCCCATGGACACCTCGGCCTTTGAGGGGCTGAACAACGGGCTGGTGAACGGCCTCCACACGGCCGAGGGCTCCCCAGAGCCTGTGAATGGCCACCTGCCTGGGGGCTGCATCGACCGCGTGGCCCAGGAACTGAAGGCCTTTGTGTCCTCCACGTTTAAGAAACAATTTGTGCTCACCCTGAGTGAGCTGAAACGGTTATTTAACCTTCACTTAGCCAGTCTGCCTCCAGGACACACGTTGTTCAGTGGCATTTCGGACAAAATGTTACAGGACATGGTGTTGGACACTGGCTGCAAACAGATTTTGGTGCCTGTAAGTATGGGTTTCATCTTGGTGTACTTTGGGGAGGGGCTTTGTGGGGCGGCAGTTAAACATCTGCGCCATGAAACATGTGTCTCCTGTTCTGGGGGACCTGAAGAATTGATGTGCTCAGAGTAACTGTCCAATATTGGACCTGTTGGAGCTGCTGGAATTCTGTCTGGTGTCCTGCTTCTGTCTGGCCCTGCACCTTGCTCTCCTGTGGTCTGTGCATAGCTTAGTTGTCTTTGGGGCTCTGTTTCCACATCCAAGGTGTTGGGCCACAGTGGTTCACTGTCCCAACTTGCTCCTGTTCACAGGATCTAAGGCAGTCCCAGATTCCCATCAGCTCTCCTGGGATTGCACAAGCTCCTTCTCCTGGGGACAGGGACACAGCTGGGAGAGGAAAGGTGACATTGACTGCCTGGGAGCAGGGAGGCACACCCAGCAGAGCCTCTGGGAAGCGACAAACTGTATCTGCAGCAGGTTTCTTTGGTCAGACTGTTTCCTCCCAGACTGTGCAGAGGTGTCTGGTTCTTTGTCTTTATGGAAATGACATGTGTGATTGCGTGAGGCAGAGCAGGTCTGTGTGCCAGTAGATTGCTTAGGAAAGGAAAAGGAGTCTGGCATCATGGGAAAGAGCCTAGAAGGAAATTAATTTTACAAGACATCTGGCACTGCTGATTGGGTTGCAACCAGAAAGAGCTTGGGAGCAGCTGCCTTTGGGGAGAGAGGAGAAGAAACGTGTGAGCTGCTCAAAAGGGCAGGAAGCAGGCGGGCTGGGAGAGCCTGGAGCATGGGAGCTGGAACTTGGCTAAGGAATAAGGATTTCTACAGGGGGGCAGAAATAACATGTTCAGTCGTGTGCAAAGTACATGTTGTGGCACCTGGGAACCAAGTAACAGACTTGAAATGCCACTGGGGAGAGCACTGATTGTGGTGCTTTCTGCTTCCTCTCCTGACGGCTTCCAAATCCTGGGGTGGTGCTTGCCTGGAACTGTCTCAGTGCTGGCCAGGCTCTCCTCTGCACCTGGTGTAATGTGTGTGTTTGCCATGCTGATGGTAAATAGCTGAGGTCATTCCTGCTGTTACTTGGGACTGGAAATTGTTTGCTTTGGAAATTTTGGGATTCTGGAAATTATTTCACCCATGTGAGGAGGGAAAGTGGGATGGTTTCTATTTTCAAAAAAAAACAAACTAAAATCCTGCTGAAGAGAGATGGTTGATACTTCCTTCTGTCTGAAAAACTGTCACAGGAGACCTGCAGAGGTGCCAAAGTGGTCATTGGAGTGTCTCTTTAGGAGACCTGTGTTCTGCTGGCCCAGAATTTACTGCAACACTTGAGCCTGTGCTGCTGTCAGCAACGTAAATCCTTCCCTCCAGCCTCCCCTCGGTGCTCTGTGCAGATGGCAAAGGTGCTGGGGCTGGTTTTACTCTTTGCATGAGCTCAGACACTTTGGTGTTTCTTGATTGTTCCCCTGGACAGTTTTGTCAGAACCCAACAGGGCGTCTGAACTCGGGGAAAGCCTGGAGGGTTGTTTAGCCTGGGGTTTCATAGTTACTCATTAGTTTTCTGTAATTGAAAGTGCTTTGGTGATAAAAATCAATGATCTGAGGTAATTAAAATGATGTTCTGTGGGGGGGTGAAGACACTCCTGGCTTGAGTACTGCCCTGTTATAGAAAACCTGTGGCTGAAAATGGCCATTGAAACCTTACCAGGGGAATGCAGGATTTATTACAGAGCTCACCAACTGCACCCGGGGTATGAGATAAATAGTGTTTGTGGGGAGCCAGAAGAGGTGCCACTCCAGCTGCAGAGGAGGCCCTGGGGATGCCTGCAGGGTGCTGTGCTTGCTGTGCTTTTTAACCTCCTCGGGTGGGAGGGAAAAGCACACATGGGGAAACAGCAAATCTTGGGCAGATGCAGCCAGGAGAGCACAGAGAGGGGAGGGGAGGAGAGGCATCCTGGGCACACACTGATGCTGAGCCTGTGCCTGGAGCCTGTGCAGGCTGAGCCTGGGTCCGGCCCCACGGGAATCCTTTGTGCAGGAATGTGGCTCCCGAGGATCTACACCCATTTCCTGCACACTGGTGGGGCTGGCTGGCTCCTGCCGGCTCCCTTCCCGTGGAGTGGCAAGGTTCTGCTCAAATCCTGAGGATATTTTTGAGGCCTCAGGAAATGATGTAACTCCTGCCTGGCTGGGGTGCAGCCCTGCTCTTGGAGAACCCTTCAGGCTGGTGCCGATTCCAGGCTCCTGGAGAGGGGAACTCAACAGTTTACCCCTAGGATTATTCCAGCTGATAAATTTTTTCTGGCACACTCAGCCCCTTCCATCTGGTTTAGCTATAACACTGCTCAAGTGAGACACGTCCCAGAGCCCAGAGCTCCTCCCAGGGAGCTTCCCTTTAACGTGGCAGCCCTGGGGACCTGGGACAGCAGTTCGGATCCCGAGAGCCCTGCACCAGCTCCAGGGGCTTAGAGCAGGAGGGGGCACAGGCAAATCTTTTAAAGAAGGATTTTAAGGTAGCAGAGAGCTGTTTCAAGGTTAGGCTGGAGAGATCAAGGTAACATAAAACAGCAAAGGGGCAGCAGGTGGCAAGACAGTGAAGCTGTTTGGGCAGAGCTGTGTCTCCGAAGAATCCCTGATGGCATTTCCCACTCCTGTGAACAGGGTGCTGTTGGCACCAGTGTTTGCAGCAGTTTGCAGAGGAAGGCTGAACGGGAGGAGGAGATTCTGTGGGTTTTTCTTCCCAAATAAGTATTGTGTTTGTTTGGAAGCCGTTTCCTCCCAGAATGGCTGGATAAACACAGCTGTGTTTCAGCCCTGTGGCCGAGGCAGGAGGAGTTTGTACTCCTGGGCTGTGCTGAGTCACCTTCTCAGAGCCTGGCAGGTTGTGTCCAGGTGCTCCTCGTGCCGTGCATTTGCCATTCCTGCTGCAGCTGTTGTCTGGAGGGAACCTGAAGTATTTTATTTTATCTGTGCTGAAAGTGTACGAGAGATTATTCCTTAAAAACAAGTGGCCTTACAAGAAGAGAATTATGTCTGGTTCTGCAAGCCTAATAAACCTGAATCCTGGCTCTAAACCAAGTGTAAAACCTTGTTATATTGCAGCCATTTGGACTAACCTGAGAGCAAAAGCTGCTAATCCCACCAGGCAGCTCCCGCTGGACAAAACCCTTCCCCTTTGCAATAAGATCAGAGGCAAAGCATGAAAGGAAATGCTGATCTTTCACTCTGCCATGCACAAGTCTTTGGGTTGCTGTGAGGGAGGCTGGGAAGAAAGGTTTGGCTTGTCCCAGCAGCCAGGATTGAGGGATCCTGGGACAATCAGGACTGGCTTGTTAGCTTTTCATAACTGATTGATTTAGGTCGTCTGGGTGGTGAGCAAGGAATAAATTGTGAGTGACAGACAGGAAGAGACATGTCAGGAGTGAAGGCATATTCCTGCACTGCTCATTAGTCTCTGCTCCAAGGGGAAATGTTAAGGCAAATGGATGGAATTTTATTTTTTCAGAGTTTGGGGCATGGGGGGAGGCAGTTGTGTTCCTTCCTGGGAACCTTCTTGTGAACCTTCCTGGGGTGGGAGGCTTCTGCCTCAGAAAACACTAATGTGTTTCTCTAGCTTGGCACATGGGAAAAAACCAAACACACAAACCCACTGTCATTTTTGGAGCCTGAAATGAGCAAATACCTGGTTCACTGTCCATCAGTGTTCAGTCTTCTGCAGTCCTGTGGTCTACCCCGAAACAGAGATGACAATACATGAGAGCCACTGTGCTTGTCAGGAACGCTGACCTGGGATTAGCCAGGCAGGTAAATATGGGATAGAGGTAAAACCTGCCTCTGTAAATGTAAAAACCTCCAGAAAGACCCTGCAATGCACTTGGTGCTCTCAGCTGATGCTGTTTTGAATGATTGTTTCAGTTCTCATTACATGGCAACCAAGGTTTTGATTCAGTAATGGGTGTCCAGGGATACAGTATCATAGAATCATTAAGCAGAACTCATTAAAGAGCTGTTATTTTTAACAGCTTCTTGTTCTCAGTTTCCTCCACAGACTGCTGCCTCACCAGATGAACTAAAGGTCTATGCACTTTGGGAAGCTGGTGACACTTATGATCAGGTAAAGATAAAATAAGTGACATTCACAAATATATGTTTATTGAGCATTTGGCATTGTTTGAGTCCATGTTTCTGGAACTAGTAGTAGGTAGTTTTGCTCTTTCTCTATTCAAGTGTCAAGTTTCCAGTTTCCAGCTGAAAGGAAGCTCTTAGCTCACAACATGTTAATAATCATGGCAGTAACAAACTCAGAGGCTATTTCTGAACCTGAGAAAGGATTCTCCAATGGACTCACACCAGGATCCAGTCCAAGTTTTTTTTTCTTTTGATGGTAATGCAACATAAACCAGAGACTAACTGGAGTATCTGTTGTACCAGTACTTAGGATAGGAAATCATTACACCAAATGTGAGCATCTCCTGAGCTCTAATTGCTCTGAGAGTAAATGAGGTGAAAGGGAAGGTGCCCAAAGAACTGCAGATGGACAGTGCAATTCCTGTGTCCATGATCTAAATAAATTTTTGTAGGAAAGAACAGTCAAGTAGTAGCTCATCTCCTGGCTGGAGTGGACCATGGGAACTCCTGTGGAAGCATTTGAGAGGAATACATTGTAGCCCCTTGTTCATCAGGTTTTTGTACCTTTGGAGGTGCCCCAAGTCACGGGACAGGTGCAGGTCAGGCCACAGGGTATGGAGAGATCCCTGCAGGGCACTGCTGGAAAGCAGGAGTATCTGGGATGGTTTCAGGATTATGAGGCAAGAATCCTCTGATGTAGTTCAGAGAATGCTTCGTACAGACTAAGGCACCTGCAGTTTTGATACAAAGAAAGAGAGGAATGATTGTTCTCTGTGTATTTATGATACATTTTCTTTTAAAGCATCGCCAAGTTTTGCTTGAAATCTTTTCGAGAAACTATCGAGTGCGCAGGAATGTCATCCAGAGCCAGCTGAGCCAGGAGTGTGGAGAGGATCTGAATAAGCAGGAGGTGGATAGAGTGTTAAAGGTAAGTTTCTGTTCAGTTGTGGATTTGATCCAGTCAATACTTGAAATTTAATGCTGTTTGAGCAAAGGATTATATTTTACCTTGAATTGACAAGTTATAGGGATGATGGAACAGTTGTTGTTGGAATATGGACAAAGCTGCTGTATCAGCTTGTTTTCTTAAAAATGCACTTGGTCTCATTCTGTCGTCTTTCCCTCCAAGGAGCAATGGCTCACACACTATTTTGTGTTATTGTAACAAATCTCCATTTGCATTCTTGGAGCAGCAGAGAATAGAGTGTAGTAAATGTGATACTTATTTTTAAATAATGTGGAGTTAAACATTTTGGAGGTGGGAGAGTTCTGCCCAGTGTTCTGAGTTACCTCAGAACTGTAGCTGGGTAATGCTGAAGAGCACAAGTGCCACATATTCAGAAGGAAATGCATTTCATTCTCTAGCAGGATGTACAACTTTGTAAAGAGCAAAACCAGCAGGCAAAGCAGTAGCTAACACATTTCATTGTGAATGTTTATTTGAATCCTTTCATCTGTCTTTGAAGCTGCACCATTTACTTGCTCAAGAAGTTTAAGGTATAAAGTACAGACCACACAGGCCATGACTTTTAAAGCGGTGCAGGATGGCCAAGCAGAAAGTTGCCAACTAATGTAATACTTTAATCATTGTGGCTGGGCCTTTGCTCACTGTCACCCACTTCAATAAGACAAGTGCTTAAGTGCTTTATTACATTGTGATCTGCAGATGAATAATAGCATCTTTGAAGAATTACAGATCTGTTGCTTTGATAATAAGCAAACTGGTCTTGCTTGAAAGAACCTGGTTGTCTTAGCAGTAAAATAAGCTCAGACATTTCTGCCTGCTAGACAGTATTTCCTGTAGCTCCCTGTGCTGGGAGAGTTGTCAGCAACTACATGAGCTCAAGTATCAGCTCTCCTGGAACATCTAGACAATGTACTGGCATTAGTTTTTCATGATGCTGATGCTATTTAACAGATCACCAATTTCTAGGAAAAAATACCTTCCCCTAAAAAAAATTATGCACGGTTTTTATGTAAAAAAAAGAGGTCCTTGTGTGACCAGCCTGGCGTTGTCAGGCTTTATTGCCTTGAGTACATTTGTCACAGGAGTATGTGAAATCATCTTTGTTTCTGAAATAAAATTCAGAAGTATGATTTAATGAAATAGGAAGATTCTCTGGCTTCTTTAAGCCACAAGAGATTGGATTCCTCTTTGAATGAAATTGGATTTGTTGACTCCGATTTCCCCATCTGCCTGTGCTCCTTTTGTTATACACAGAGGAACAGACTGACAGGGTTTGTGTTTTTGTATCTGCAGAGCAAGTCTGCAAACCCTCTTTCTAAGCCTCCACACAGGGTTGGTTTGTTTGTGCCATTCACGAGTCCCAAAACTTCAGGAAAAAAAGATCTGTTGAAGCTGCACAGCGTCAGTTCTGTGGCAGCACTTGTGCCTGTGTTGAATTACCTGAGTGGGAGGGTGGGAGCAGAAGAAAGAGAAGCCGTTAGCTCAGAACTCCAGAGCCTTGGTGCTCGTGGAATAGAAACAAGGAAATGAGCCACGAGACAGCCCATTTCCTGCATCCCTTGCTGTGGTGCTCCCCCCGTGTGGGCAGAACGTGGCTCTGGGGTGGGACAGTTCATTATCATAGAACGGGGTTTTTTAAAAGGCTTCAGATCCAGCCACTGCTTCCAGACTCCAGCCCTGTCCTGCTGCTCCCTTCAGCCTCTCCCCCCTGAGCTTCAGCCCATGCCTATCCCTCACTTCCCTGCTCCTCATCCCTCACACATCCTTCCCTCAGCTGCTTCTGCACAAG